ATATAAAATAGTATTAAAAAAAATGTAATTGGCTACAAGGTTACAAAGATTTATGATCAATTAAAATACTGATTGAGAAAATTGAATAAAAATTATTAAATTATATTCAAATGATGTTTTAATATAAAAAATAATTTTTAAATCTTACTCAAACGTTTATTGTCTTATGACTACATGATTAGGGTTGTTAATGGCTACATAATTAGGGTTTTTAAAAGGACTTTTTGTTCGTGAACAAACAAGACGAACACGAACACACTTTGAGCTCGAAATATAAACGAGCCAAACACGAGCTGAGCATGTGTTCGGCTAGTTTACACCCCTAGTCACCTTAAAATAATCACGAAGTAACACTTGTGCTTCCACTTTAATAACTCAAATATTTTGTGATTATTAAAAAAACTCATATATTTAACTTTAATAACCTTGAAATAATCCAAAAATTACCTGAAATATCAAAAATTACCTGAAATAACCTCTGCAGTATTATTTCTAAGGTATTGACATGCAAGCATGAAAGTTATTTTGGGAAATAACCTTCTATAGTACATGTGGCGGCATATTATTGAAGCCCGCACGTAAAATTATGTCTGGAGTCTATACATAAAATTTCTCCCCCACTTGAGACCTAAGAGAATAGTTATGTAACATGACTTACCACAAAAACTCAATTCTTATTTATTTACATACCTAACACCAATTCCTATGTATTTACATACCTAAGACCCAAAATTAAATTTTTACATACATATCATCTTTTTTATTTACGAAAAGATACATTTTATTTTTAAAAATTAATATAATATTTTTTTTATATTTGAAAGATTTTGGTGGTATAAATATATATATATATATATAAATTGAAGGGGAGGTGAGTAAATGCCCCAACTTAATACAGACCCGATGATGCCAAAACTGATCTAATATAAGTCTCAAGCTCATATCAAGTCATTAAATCACTTTTGGAAGCTTTTTGAGAATATTTAGGAGGCCAAATGAATGTCGAATATGCCGAGCTTATAGTTGAATCGACAATTTTTGCGTCGTTAAGGAACTCAAATGTCCATCAACCGCCGTCTGATCAAAATGGTTCATATGTTTGCATTAATTGTACCAAGAACTCTATAAATAAAACCTCACCCCACTCATGAGGAGAGAAAGACTGCAGCTATTTAAAGATGTTATCAGTTTTAGAACCAAATGTATTCCAGAGCTTCAATTTCAACAAACTTATAGTCAAACTGACCCGCTCAATGAGACGAACCTAATGTATGAAAACTAGTCCAATCCGAGTCAAATCAAGCTCAGATCAAGTCATTAAACTATCCTTAGAAGATTTCTGGACATATTTGGAAGGTCAAACAGATGTCGATACTGGTAAGTTTATACCCAAATCGAGCGGCTCGACAAGACGAATCCAACGAGCCCAAGATCACTCAATTCTGACATTTAGAAAGCACTCAAATGTCCATTAAACACGGTATGATCGGAGGAAACTCCCTTGACAGTTCGATCAAAATGATTGATATTTCTGTATTAATTGTCGCTCGTGTTCGGCTCGTTTACACCCCTAGTCACCTTAAAATAATCACGAAGTAACACTTGTGCTTCCACTTTAATAACTCAAATATTTTGTGATTATTAAAAAAACTCATATATTTAACTTTAATAACCTTGAAATAATCCAAAAATTACCTGAAATAACCTCCGCAGTATTATTTTTAAGTTATTGAAGGGTAAGTATGAAAGTTATTTTGGGAAATAACCTTCTATAGCGCATGTGGCGGCATATTATTGGAGTCCGCAAGTAGAGTTATGTCTGGAGTCTATACATAAAATTTCTCCCCCACTTGAGACCTAAGAGAATAGTTATGTAACATGACTTACCAAAAAAACTCAATTCCTATGTATTTACATACCTAACACCAACTCCTATGTATTTACATACCTAACACCCAAAATTAAATTTTTACCTACATATCATCTTTTTTATTTATGAAAAGATACATTTTATTTTTAAAAATTAATATAA